GTTCGTACCCCTTGCGCTTTCTTGGTCGACTTGTGCCATAGGATGTGTTTAAATGTCTTTCTGAAGGGTCAGATGATATGTGAGTAAGGCATATTTTGTGGTTTGTGAGTGGGTTGGGTGTATTTTTGTGACTGCGTTTGTATATGTGCATATGCCCTCTCTCTACACTCAGCACCCCTTGCCTCGACACTCAGCCCCCCTTACCTCGACACGCAGCACAGCCCCACGACATTCAGCACCTCCTTGCCTTGAAACCCAGCGCACCCTCACCTCAACACCCAGCGCCCCGTCGCCTCGACACCCCCAGCGCCCCCTCACCTCGACTCCCAGCACCTCCCCCGACACTCAGCATCCCCGCCTCGACACTCAGCGCCCCCTCCCTCGACACCCAGCGTCCCCTCACCTTGACACCCAGCACCTCCCTCGACACTCAGCACCCCCTTGCCTCGACACCCAGCACCCCGTCGCCTCGACACCCCCAGCGCCCCCTCACCAGCACCTCCCTCGACACTCAGCACTTCCTTGCCTCGAAACTCAGCATCCCCGCCTCGACACTCAGCGCTCCGTCTCCCCGGCAGCGACTCTGACGTCACACCGACCGCCCCGCTAGGCCGCTTCTGCGGAACGCACGCGCCGCCGAGCGTCGGCCCCACCGCGGGCAACCTGCTGCGTCTCCAGACGCGCTCCGGCAAGGGCAAGGGCTTCACGGCCGAATGGGTGGCGACGTGTCGCCCAGTGTAGTCACGTGTCGTCACGTGTCGCCACGTGTCGCCACGTCACGTGTCGCCACGTGTCGGCGGCAGGCGCTAGTCGGCCAGGGCGTCACGCAGAATTGCGTGACGGCGTGACGCCGGTGACGGTTGGGGTAGTGTCTGTCACCGCACCAAGTAGCATGGTTCGCGCCACGCAGCTAAGCGAACTCGGCCTGCTGTTCTGTTTGGCAAGAAAAGCGGCGAAGTGGTCATGACCATTTTCAGTCTCCGTGGGTATTCGTGTGAAGCAGCGCCATTTATGTGATGCACTTTTGCCACGTGGATAAGATATGTAGGCCGACGATGCGGAAGATGACATTGCAGCACACTGTCGAAACGCTTTCGAACAGCCCTGTGATTGCTCTCCAGCATGTTCGGCAATGCAGCGCTGCCAGAGCTAAACGAGAACATCTCGCATCGTGGTTAAGCAGTGGTGAGCGGCGCCACCCGCACCTGCAGACGGCAGGGGTCATGTGTGCATCAGTTCCCACGTGTGCTGCTAGTATAAACCAGCTTCTTGTCAGCTTTGCACTTTGGAAATGAAGTGGTGACTTGACAAGCGTGAGAGACACATGCTAGAGAAGGAGAGCAACGAGATACCGAATGCATGAACTCTTGTGGTAGGGGTGGGATGCAATAAGCGTTGTGAGCCACTAAGGACGTTTTCATGCAATATCAAGTTCGTGAAATGACGTAGTGGTCCATTGTTGTTGTTTTTTTTTGGTCTATGTCGCAGTCCACTTTCAGCCCGTTGTTCGCTTCTGCAGTGTTTTTGTTGTCCTGAAAATATGATCTAAACATTGGAGTCATGAGGCGTGGCGGCAACATAGGCCCATAGAAGGACATCATTGCGATTTGTGTACTACTAACGAGGGTATAAGCGCTTTCTGATCCACGCTTCACGCTGACTTCACAGACGCTGTGTTGGTGTCTTGGTCTGACTCTGCTCGGTATGACTGATGAATATCAGGTGTAGAGCGACTGGATTGACTGCCTGTCAGTCAATCCAGCCGGTACGTTGTATCATATAGAAACAACCGAAAGCACTGAAGAAGCTTTCACGTTAAAAATGTATGCGAGACAGTTCGAAGGTTCGTTCGTTCATTGGTGTTTTCGGGCGCGTCGACTGCAAAGGTCATTTTGCGCACCACAGTTCGAATGCTATTATTCAAAAGAACAGACTAGGAGTTGTTATCCCGGAAGGTCGCGTATTAGAAAGCCAGCACGCATTTAATGGTTTTTGTTCAAAATAAGGTAAATTATTTGGAGAAGAAATCGTTGGAGGCGGATTTATATCCAATAGGCACAATGACGAAAGACCTGGCTGCACTTTTTTATAAATATGTGTGGGCTGCTCCGCCAGCGCATTAAGGTACATTATCATTATCCACTTACCCACATTAGCTGTGCATTGAATCAGCATTTTCTGAGTTGTCGCTACCGTGTTCTGCTATAGTGGAGCCATGCAGCGCTCCGCGCCCTCATATCAACTTTTGCCAGACAAATGTCTTTGTAGGCTGCAACGCAAATTTCCCATCACAGATGACACTTGGTTTCAAGGGTTAAGTGTATTTTGGCTGCAGAATCGGCCGAGATAATCAACGTAGCGACGCCTCGCTAGGATCACCTGCATAATCGGAGCTCTACAAACTGCATTGAAGGGAAAAGGGCGGAAACCAGGTGTCCCCAAAGACGAAGAGATATCTGCAGTTCCCATTATGTGTTAGCGCTGGTTTCGGTGGTCCAGGACAAGCATTGAAAAGGCCGAGACGGGAATTGGGAGGTGGGAGTGAGGTGGGAGTGAGGTGGGAGTGGGGACAGAGTGTCTCCAAACGGACCCACACCTCTTCCCTTGGTCACGTGACCGTCATACAGCAGCCAGCCGAAGATCGCGTGACTCAGGTCTTCACGCCGCTGGCAGCGTCGGCTCAGGTCGCACGCCGCCAGCTGACCAGGAGTGACGTCACTGGGGCGTCTCAGCTGCTGCCGCGGTTGGCTCCGGTCACGTGTCAGTGCTTGCAAGGCTTGCCGCCCTGCAGCACGCGGCACACGTGACACACACGTCGGCCAATCAAAGCGAAACGTCGGCTCATGTAAAGGCGTGGGCAAGAGTCCAGGCAACAGTTGTTTGCAATGAACATCTTGTTTAAAATATACTTCCATTGGTGAAGTATTTGACATTATCGGGCGCCTTGCGTGGCGATGGATGGCGGAGGTGAGAGAAAAAGAGAGAAGAAAAGATGACGGAGAAAAAATATATGGTCAGAAAAATGTGAGAGGTGACGGCTACTTTCATGTTACATGATATCAAAAGCTAAGCTTATCGGGCCAGGCATCTTTGGTGACCTACACTAGTTCTATAAATGCGTTAACTACTAGTTCAGTCAATGCGTCAGTTCAATAAATACAGATACCAGTTCGATTACTGTGCTTATTCATGAATAAAACCGCTACACAATCGGTTGTCTATTAGTGTAGTGAGCTTTGAGAGTGTTAATCATCGTCGATCGCTGTGGCGATTCATTCATTGAATGCATTCATTCCATGAATTTGAATGAATGAATGCCAGTTGGGAATAAAATATGGCAAGCAAAGCAAATGTTTTGGGTTGATAATTGCCACAGGCAAGTAGCTTAAGCCATGCGAAACCGCCAGTGGCAGAAACCATGCTTCAGACTGAAGTGAACTGCAAATTTTATTTTACCGCGGGCTGGAAATATTGGAAGTTTAGTAAAATTCACTTCGTTTGCGGCCTTGCTAGTGATCATGTAACACGTCTTTCACGCATTTGTCGTATTTGGCAATTATTTTGACTTCAAATCAATGTTTTCGTGGTGTAACCGTTTACATGTTCGTAGAGGAAACTTTTAAAAGACAAACTGTTTCGCAAAGTTATCCATTTTAGTGCATAATAAAGAATAAAAAACAAAAACCAAAATTGGTACCGTTCTGATCGAGATATTGCAACGATAGCTATTACAACATATCGTTTAATGTCATACACCAAAATCCGTGTGGGACATAAATGTATTTGTTCATACAAGCTCATCCATGAATTTAGTGTCCCATTTACTGCTCGTAAACTAAGTGGTACCTTGTTTACAATCTTTATATTGAAATAAACCCATCCTTAATTCAATGCATGGGAAATGAATATTCCTAACTCAGCCCCCACAACTTGTCTTTATCTAAAACACACTTGCTTTTCCTTGCCTGAGCAAAATAATTTCTATTCTACAATTCATCCGATCCCATCTTGGCGCCCAGCACAGCTCTAGCTGGAAGTAAGATCCGTCCCCATGACTTCAACCGCGATGACCTTTTGTGACTTAGTCATGTCACGGGCAGTGCTCGCCGTGGATTGCGTGAGCGGGGCAGCGTCATAGGACATCTCTGCAATCACCGGCGACTGACCCCGAGCACGGCCGCCGCATAAACATTTCTGATCACGTGCTCATGGGTAGCCGTTTGCGAGTGACCATGGGCACTGTCGGGCAGCAAGTGACACTCGACATGTCCGATGACCGATACGACACTGGTCACCAACGTCTCCGGTGCTCCGCGGCAGCACTTTTCCTGTGGTTCTCATACTCACGTTTTTCCTCTGGCACTCACTCTTCGCGCGCAGTGCATTTGCTTCAGCCTTGATGGCATCACCTGCAAGATAACGAACATATATTATAGTAAATAGGATTAGATTGGTGCATCAGGTCATTATACATACAGTTATGTACAGCTATATATATATATATATATATATATATATATATATATATATATATATATATATATAAAGCCACGTGGTCTGATATTTCACGTACGCCACCGTTTTAACCAGATTTTAATCTTTTTATTTTTTCCCCATTTTACGTACGCGCCCGCACTAACTTCCGGTGCACTGACAGCGGGGCGCAGTGGCGAGAATGGTTCACGTATTGTTTTGAGAATGCGTACGATGTCGACTTCACTGGGGATGGCATCTAAGCCGATTTTTACACATGTACATACCTACAGTAGAGGTAACTGTGTGACCGTTGCTGGAAACGGTGCCTGCCACAGTGTGGGTCGTGGTCTGAGTGTCGGAAGCAATTGCAGAAGATTGAGCCTGTGGAAGCAGAACAATCATTTAAACACAGGTGACACTCTGTATGCGTTCAACCAGCTGATTTGGTTAAAATAACCACCAGAAATATGTGCATATATATATACATGTATATATATATATATATATATATATATATATACGAATAAGAATTCCTTATTCGTTTGTGGCACTAATTTTTGTGGGTTGCCAGCCCCACGCCAAGCTGCATTTAAACCATACACGCCGCAACTCACAATAACTCCAGTGGCTGTGGGAGGCACTCCATGGGTTCCCCCGCCCGCCAGAGAGCTCCCCGTCGATTGGCTGACACCGAGAGCGTGCTGAAAAAGAGCCAATCACGTCACGTCAATAGAGAACACAAGTAGTGCGCAGGTGGTTACCAGGTGGTTACCAGGCACACCAGTGCGCAAGAAATGCGCATTAGTGTGCCTGAAGCGAGATACCTGCTGGAGGTTACCTTTTCTTTGAGCATGATGACTTGACTTTGAATACAAACCGAGAACTCATGCTGATGAAAGGCACTAGTCTACTCAGGCAAATCAAGATGTCGCGTCTTTGCTTTGAGCAAGTGAGTCAACAGCGGACCTACCGAGCTCTACGTACTGACTTATATACACGAGTAGTGGCACAGTTCTTTGCAAGATTCGTCATGTCCTGTATGACATGCGACAGGTTTAGGGGGTCTATCACAGATATTAAACAGGACGTGCATATGCTAAGGTAAATGTTATTTATGTTTGACGTAAGTCAACATAGTAGTTATTTCGCGAAGAAATGGGTAAGTCTGTTAAATATAGTGCGTTTCGATCCGGCGCACTACTCCAACCTCTTGTTGATAGAAAGATGGAGCCCTGCTATTATTTGAAACGCCATCACATTTTTCACTCCCCCCCCCCCCCCAATCACCCGGTATCCACCCTAAAATAATTTATCTCAGACACCATGAGCATATAGGATCATCGCTTTAACTCGGAAGAATAATTCCCGCTCTTCAACAGTTGCGTCGCATTTGGTAGTGAGCTGGAGCCCTGAAACCCCGACCCACCTTATGTCAGCATATCTGACTGAAAATTGAAGCAAAATATGAAAATAATAGAGAGAGAGAGAGAGAGAGAGAGAGAGAGAGAGAGAGAGAGAGAGAGAAAGAGAGAGAGAGAGAGAGAGAGAGAGAGAGAGAGAGAGAGAGAGA